CTGCTTGTTCTTGGGGCATTTTCCCTTCAGTTTTGTCTTCAGCAAGTGAAATGCATGCTCAATCGGATTCAGGTCAGGTGATTGACTTGGCCATTGCATAACGTTCCACTTCTTTCCCTTAAACTCTCTGGTTGCTTTTGCAGTATGCTTTGGGTCATTGTCCATCTGCACTGTGAAGCAGCGCACAATGAGTTCTGAAGCATTTGGCTGAATATGAGCAGATAATATTGCCCAAAACACTTCAGAATTCATCCTGCTGCTTTTGTCAGCAGTCACATCATCAATAAATACAAGAGAACCAGTTCCATTGGCAGCCATGCATGCCCACGCCGTGACACTACCACCACCATGCTTCACTGATGAGGTGGTATGCCTAGGATCATGAGCAGTTCCTTTCCTTCTCCATACTCTTCTCTTCCCATCACTCTGGTACAAGTTGATCTTGGTCTCATCTGTCCATAGGATGTGTTGTTCCAGAACTGTGAAGGCTTTTTTAGATGTCGTTTGGCAAACTCTAATCTGGCCTTCCTGTTTTTGAGGCTCACCAATGGTTTACATCTTGTGGTGAACCCTCTGTATTCACTCTGGTGAAGTCTTCTCTTGATTGTTGACTTTGACACACATACACCTACCTCTTGGAGAGTGTTTTTGATCTGGCCAACTGTTGTGAAGGGTGTTTTCTTCACCAGGGAAAAAATTCTTTGGTCATCCACCACAGTTGTTTTCCGTGGTCTTCCGGGTCTTTTGGTGTTGCTGAGCTCACGGTGCGTTTCTTCTTTTTAAGAATGTTCCAAACAGTTGTTTTGGCCACGCCTAATGTTTTTGCTATCTCTCTGATGGGTTTGTTTTGCTTTTTCAGCCTAATGATGGCTTGCTTCACTGATAGTGACAGCTCTTTGGATCTCATCTTGAGAGTGGACAGCAACAGATTCCAAATGCAAATAGCACACTTGAAATTAACTCTGACCTTGTATCTGCTCATTGTAATTGGGATAATGAGGAAATAACACACACCTGGCCATGGAACAGCGGAGAAGCCAATTGTCCCATTACTTTTGGTCCCTTAACAAGTGGGAGGCACATATGCAAACTGTTGTAATTCCTACACCGTTCACCTGATTTGGATGTAAATACCCTCAAATTAAAGCTGACAGTCTGCAGTTAAAGCACATCTTGTTCGTTTCATTTCAAATCCATTGTGGTGTTGTACAGAGCCAAACATGTTAGAATTGTGTGAATGTCCCAATATTTATGGACCTGACTGTATGTCATGGTGTTCCAGGAAGTGTCTGGAGACACTATGCTTATCTTTACCATCCTCAATGAGGTGGCGATGTTCCCTAAAATGCTTCTGAAATGTATGAATAGTTCTACCTACATAATGTAAACCACAAGTTCATGCTAGACAGTACACTACAAATTCTGATGACCATGTGTTTTAATGAACTTGCATGTCAAGCAAAGTGGTTTAGGACCATTTCATAACCGTCACACAGACATGGAACAGGTGGTGTGGGGAGACACTGTATGCAAAATACTAAAACAGGATCCCCATTTATAATAGTATGCGGAATACTATTACAGGATCCCCAATTATATTAGAATGCAAAATACTTTTACAGGATCCCCAATTTTAATAGTATGCGGCATAATCTTACAGGATTATAATAGTATGCGGCATACTCTTACAGGATTATAATAGTATGCGGCATACTATATTACAGGATCCCTAATTATAATAGTATGCGGAATACTCTTACAGGATCCCCAATTACAATAGTATGCGGAATAATGTTACAGGATTCTCAATTATAATAGTATGCGGAATACTATTTCAGGATCTCCAAATATAATAGTATGCAGAATACTATTATAGGATCCCCAGTCATAATAGTATGCGGAATACTGTTATAGGATCCCCAATTATAATAGTATGCAAAATACTATTGCAGGATCCCCAATTATAATAGTATGCGGAATACTATTATAGGATCCCCAGTCATAATAGTATGCGGAATACTGTTATAGGATCCCCAATTATAATAGTATGCAAAATACTATTGCAGGATCCCCAATTATAATAGTATGCGGAATACTATTGCAGGATCCCCAATTATAATAGTATGCGGAATACTATTGCAGGATCCCCAATTATAATAGTATGCGGAATACTATTGCAGGATCCCCAATTATAATAGTATGCGGAATACTATTACAGGATCCCCATTTAAAACACTCTATATTCTCTTACAGAAAAGCACGCAATATCAAAAGTAGAATAGCACCTAGGAAACTTAAATCTAACAGAGCTCTGTCGTTCTTAAGTTTTTTCTTTATTATAGGCATGTACCAATGTCATAAACCACTTTGCTTGACCTCTCCTCTCTTTCCTAAGTCTGTGTTGATTAGCATACAATGCAAGAGACCCAGCCTCTGCACTTTTAAACCTTTGTTAGAACAGATCAAAATCTAGTTAAGATTGATAATGAAATTCTGCTTGTTCAGTACAGAGTTAATTATGACAACACGGCTGCCCTGCCCCCTCATGAACAAAGAAAACTAGCTAGGATTTTCCTTGCTGGATAGTTCAGAGTAGAGCATGTAAAAAGGTTTTCTACAAATTTTAAATATTTTTTTTAAAGTCATGTTATTTGAATAGGGACACGTAACAAATATAAAATAGGTGTTATCCCACTTTGGCTGCAAAAGTGGATATACACTTTAAGCTTCTGCAATGTCAGCTGTGGGAAGGATGGTATGTCATCCGGAGTTTCAAAGTACAAGGATGGTGTTGAACGATGTAGGAGTTCACCCAACACTGATTCATTTGTGTTTGTTGGACATTAAGTGAATGCTCACTATCACTTTAAACACAGGAAATGTATTTTTATTATAGCACTCTCTCTCTTCTAATCATAGCTTTTTTGAACACCATTTTACCTTTTATCCCACAGAGGAGGGAAGATTAAGGCATACATAGCCCTGAGACACAGACCAGCTTGTTTACTGTAATAACAAACATTGTGCTCTGCTAAACAGAATAACAGAGAGCTATTATTTAATGGGATGACACTATGTCCTGACAGCAGCCCACCCACAAAGACTGCATTGCATCAGAGTGACTTTTTAGGCTGAAAATGACAAGATGTATTCACACATTACAAGTCTGGTGCTTAAAGAAGTTTAAACAGCCCACACATGGTGACAGACCATGCTGCAGCAGGTAATTTGGTATTATCTACCCTTAAGCTCCAGAATTGCTATGGAGTGAACATTAAACTGAATATCTTCGTTTTCATTATGTTTATATTTAGCTTTACCAATAATATCATTTTTATAATATATTATGAATACAAGCCATCAAGTAATTTATTTCCTAAAAGCCATTATTTCATTTTGGAGTCACACAGGATACATATGCTTACAAATGTTTATAGAAAAAGAGACACGATAAATTTAAAGCATAAATTATTATTTAGAATGCTTTTTATACAAAGACTTGCAGTCTCATTCAGTAAGGAATGGCAGAGTGTTAAACTATAGAACTGAACTCAAAAAGTGAATATTTGCTATGTTACGGGAACATCTTGAAATATTAAATGTACCTAAAGAGTACCATGGAAATTTATTTATTTTATTTTTTAAATAGCCGTGCAGTTTCTCATATGTGAGGGTTTCCAGGCACTCCTGTGCCTACAGCCTCATAGCTGTATATCTTCTGTATGAGATCTAAGGTGCTGCTGAAAGCTCTTCCCCCATCTCTATGTTCTAAAACTCAATTTAATACATGGTTGCCAGATAGGGGACACATCAGATACTGATAAGAAAAGACAGTACATGTGATCTTAGCCAAAAGGCAGAGAGGTGATCTGAGCGCTATTCTCAGTAGATTTGGTGACTTCACCGCTGTTCTGCTCACTGTCACTGAAAACTCTGGGTTTGATTTACTAAAGGGAAAATAGGCTGTTCACATTGCAAGGAAATTGCACTTTGCAAGTGGATTTTCTCCAGAGCATAGTGAAAAAGGAACGTCTCTGCTGACCTGAATCATCCAATCATGTGCAAGAAAAAAAACAATTTTTTTTATTTTCCTTGCACATAATTGTGTATTCTTTGCAAAGTGAAATTTCACCACATTCATTAACTTCTTGGGAAAATTCCTTGCAAAGTGAACAGCCTATTTGCTTTCAGTACATCAAGCATTTTGACTCAAGTAAGCAAAGTCCTGTCTCTACTAAGATAGATGCCTCCACACAGGGACACAGTGCAGAACAAGCCATGATAAGTCATTGATGAAAGAACAACTGGACGTAAACAGAAAGAAAGAACAACTGGAAGTAAACAGAAAGAAAGAACAACTGGAAGTAAACCAGTAAAATACTTTCATCTTTTGAACCCCAAGGCAAAATGCCCAAACCTTTAAGCCCAGTGGTAGATGTAACCTTTCAGTTGAAATTTAGTAAATAAGCTCACTTATACTTGGCATATTTGCTAAATTTGTTTTGGATTAAAGATGATTTGCAGAATAATGATGGCTTCTCAAAATCTTCTCATGTAGGTTTTTAAGATTTTGATGAAATTGTACCTTGTTAAGAGGAGCTTTCGGAATATGAGAATGCAGGGAACAGTCCAAATCTCAGAATATTCCAAAGTTCCCAACACAGATGCCAAGAGAATCCTAACTTTTTCAAAACAAAGTATACTGATTCTTAGTCAATAATATTGTCTTTATAATTGAAACCTTTTATATAGTTAATTAAATGCACAGCAATGAATCACCCTGGTGAGAATGGGCCCTTAAGGTACCTAAAGACAGATCCAGATGGCCAGATCGGGGAATGATTTATGCTTGCAGGCTGCTTCACAACCCTGGCAGATGCTCCTTGGTCAAGTCTGCTTGAGATAAATTTGGATTTCCCCAGTCGAACAATATTGTCAGTTAGTATATTTGCAGAAAATGTGCTATGAGTTTTCAAGTCTGACATTGCTACTGTCTGGGCAGAACATTGTTCATTTATAAAGAATGAGCTCACTTTGTATGATGTTGCTTTTTTTTGACTCCTTTGTTTCTCTGGGTATCAAAGTATTCATTCACTTGTGTGAGAGGTCTGTAAGTCATTGCTAATCCAGACATTTGCCATTTCCCACATGGCTTATTCTTTTCAGAAATGGACACCATAGAAGAGTTTTCAGAAAACGGGTGAAGTTAATTTCAAATTTCCTAAAAATGTTAGCAATGCCAAAGCATAGATACCATTTAAGCTCTGATTTCCCTTTTCTGAGATAACTGTAAAATTTTATGGAACAAGACTTGGGGTGAGAATGAATCTGGGTATACCATTTGGGAAAAAAACAGAACTGTTCTAACCTTATTGGTGAATGACAGAATAATTCTTAGAGTAGCTATCATAAAATATGTAAAAAAATATTATCTGGATTAAATCGAGTCCTTCAACGGTAGATTCATAGGATGCCTTCTAAATATATCCACATGTCAAAACAATTAGAAGATACAGAGAAATGAGCCGCTGAAATCACGTGATTATCTCAACTTTTTTTTCTATAAAAGTCAAACTATGTCCTGTATGCTTTTAATTTACCAAACCACACAGCTTAACATTGTGATAGTATTGAAATAAATTTTCTCTTAGATTGTAAGCTCCAAGGAGCAGGGCCCTCCTATCCCTTTTGTATTGAACTGTATTGAACTGTATTGTTGCTGTATTGTCTCCCTTTATATTGTAAAGTGCTGAGCAAACTGTTGGCGCTATATAAATCCTGTATAATAATAATAATAATAATGTACAAGCAATCAAAGGAAACAATATAAATAGTATTTTGTCTTCTAGGATAATGGTTTGTCAAAGCTAAAAAAATTGGAAATGATAAACTTTGGTCTACTTCAGTCCACAGTCGAACATACAGTATAGTTTACAAACACAAGAAATTCTGCATTGTTGCTGTAGAAATAGACTTCCTACAAAGATCAGTACATGGGCATGGGTTTGGCCTCCTGTCCTAGTTGCTCGAGTTCCTGTCTATCTGCCCTGAACCTAAGTATTATTAGGCCTTTGCACCTGTGTGTTAGTGTTCGAGTAACGTGTCTTCACATGGAAGCTGAACCCCTCTGGTTCCTGTGGTGTTCTCCACTGCTTGAATATTCCCATATTCTGTGTGTTGTTTGGTTCTGTCTTTGTTCTCAGTGTTTTCCCTCTGACCATGCAGTTATATTCCCTTGGATTTATGTCCTTGGATCCCTTAATTTCCTGTTGCTGTGAGTGTCCTTCCCAGCACTATTTCTTGTTGTTTGCACTATTGGTCAGCATCCCCCATTCTCCTGTGCTTTACACTTGTTCCCTGCGTCCTCTCCACTGGCATCCCTTCCTAACGTGCTGCAGTAGGATACCTTGGTTCCTAGTATCCGGTGTTTCCCCTTTTCCTTCCAGTGTGCTATTTGGTTGCACTGTGCCCACATGGGTGAGTTAGAGAGACGCATCATGGGGGCTGCCTCACAGCACAACATCCACACCTCTAGTGGCTCTGGTGAACACCAGGTGGCTCCTTAGATCCTGTGACTCTGACACACCATCATATGCGTGCGGTCATCACACTGCTCCTGCATATGCAAGGACTGGTACCCAGGTACACCTGTTTAGTTGTTTCCACTGGCCCACTAAATCTTGAGTTTACAGTCCAAGGTGGTCTTATCCTCTGATCGTGATATCCTCTAGTGGAAAATTTCCTGTGCCTGGGAAACTGCAAGTGCTGCGTACAGCTGCCTATACAAGCGAAGGGCTGTGCATGGCATACACTTGTAAACTACGATGGCTTCTGTAGCGGCATTTCCCCACACATGTGCATATGGCATATTTCCCTCAGGAATATTTGGGGAAATATGCCCTATGCATATACATGGGTAAATGCTGATACAGAAGTCATTGCAGCCATTCATTTGTAGGGGCGGCTGTATGTGGCACCTGTGGATCACCAGGTATGAGAAAGCATGGACTTTTATGTTACACGACTTTTAAAAATGTTAACATCCATGTGCATGAGGCCTAAAAGCATGATGCTGTATTACTGCTTCAGATCCTAGACAAGTGGTGGTCAACTTTTTTTTATTCGGCCTCAAGGGCTGTAATGTTCTGTAATGCTCTAGAATGTCTTTAAAGATTGCAGACATGCAACAGGAGATAGCTGGAGACTGCTAACATACTATAGGACTTATTGGAGATTGTGAACATATTATAATAATTATTGGAAACTGCGGACATGCCTAAGAAAGTTGCCATAGATCAGAGACAGATTGCATGAGACTGCTAAAGATCACTGCTATTACAGGGCAGGGGCGGACTGACCATTTGGAAACTCAAGCACTGCCCGAGGGCCCGGGGTCAGTAGGGGGCCCCATGAGATGCCCCTGGTACCTTTTTCATAGTCTTTTTTGAGTTTGGGCAAGGACACAGGGGCCTCATGATCCCCTATTGCCCGGGGGCCCCATGAGTTGTCAGTCCGCCCCTGTTACAGGGTAATAATAAAACACCGATTAATGTATGTAGAGTACCCGAGGGACACAAAAGTGTTAAGGGGCTGCAGGCTGGGCAGGCTGAGCAACTGGGGCCTAGACAGCTTGCAAATATGGAACGACAAATGTTTTCCAACTCTACAGCAGGATGTCAAGGTATCTTTATGTGATCAAAAACAACAAAACAAAGATGGGTGATGACAACATCAAAATCAACAACAGAGTGGCTCAAATAGAAACATATTAAACAGAAAAAAAATATTAAACAGGAAAAATTATTTATAAACACTAAGTCAGAGAAGAGACCTCAAGGTTTGTTGCATGATATGAGATGTCTCACAAGTATTAAAAAAATATACATTGCTTTATACAGTTTTTCGCTAATCATTGCATGGGTGTAAGCCATAGTTTAACCCCTTCATGCCTAAGGGTAAAACAAAAATACCGCCTGAGCACAATTTTACAACTTTGACACTTTGTGTTAGGGGCAATCCCCAGAAAAGTAATAGAGGGGAAATTTTCTTAGGGGGGAATTACCTTAAATTGCAGAGATTTTGGATAAGCCCAAGCCATAGGAGAGGCAGGAGGAGCCCAAACAGCAGCCATTGATGTCTGCAGTAGGATCAGGGGCCAGAGTTTCACTGGTGGAACCCATCATGCAGGGAGGTTTCCCATACTTAGGTCTGCTTGCATGTGATATTATATACCTATGGTACAATTTTTGAAAACACCTCCTTCAGGGAGTGTAACCTATGTGGTAACTATATGTGCTTATATTCATAGCATGTGATATTATATACCCATGGTATAATTTTTTGAAAATACCTCCTACAGGGAGTGTAACCAATGTGCGGTGCTGCAAATGCTTTAGACTATGGTGGTCATAGCCTTTGCAGCACATATATCCAGACCGGTCTTGGTGTGATTTTAATGGTTTTAGGTCTGTGTGTATGGTCTCATACTGAGGTGATGGTAAACCAGGGCGATTGCCCGAGTGTCAATCATTAATGTGTAATAAAGCATAATTTTTGGAAATTTTTCTGAGTATCGCATTCTGTCCATAATGTAGCCGCTTTCTTGTGAATCTCTTTTCACAAATCTCTTCTTAGGTTTCCCATACTGCTGCTGTATGAACTCTGGCTGAAGTCACTATGACAGGCCTGGGTTCACACAAGAGCTGTGCAGGAAACCACATGCAGTTCAGACTTAGAATTACGTAGAGTTCTGTATTACTAGACTGGAATCAACACCAAATCAGCAAAGTCAGCAATAAACAGTGCATATAAGCATTAAATGCAATGTGAATAGTAATAATACTATAACTAGCCTAGAGTGCATTTTAAGAGAAAGGCTAGGATATGATGCAATGTCCCCTGAGAGGTACCTCTTAGTATAAGTAATAGGGGAAGGTCTCTGTGTAATAGCTTCAAAGGGACAGTCTTTAATCCTAACTCTTCAGTTGGCTAGCGTTGAGGTCCAGTTGTACCATTGGTGCACATGAAAATAGTCTCAGTCAAGCCTGTAGGCAGAAATAAGGCTGCTAGATGGCTGTATGGGTAGTTCCTAAAGGGCTCAGTCTCTCTAGCAGCAGATAGTAAAGCCCCATAGCAGCAACTCATCAGTCCCAATGATATTGCAATTCACCATCCAGTAACATACAGCGATTAGTCCACTCTCTGCTCTGCACTCAGGTGATTCTGGCTGTCTGCACTCCAAACTCAGCACTCCAGATCCTGTTTAGATTGCCATACTGCAGCAGTGGTGCACCCTGGAGAGTGATGAGCAATCCCTGGGCTCCTTCATGGCAAAAGTGACCTATGTCCTCTACAGCCTGAGAAAATGTAATTATTTCCCCTACTCATGGTGATCTCACTCTGAGAAATGCAGCTCAAGAGCTTTTGATTACAGTAGAGTGCCTCTCCACTGGACTACAGTTCCCACAGTGCAGTACGTTCCCACAGTGCAGTACTGTCTGATTCAGTCTATTAAACTCTTCATGCTCAGCAGCTCCCTCCTCTTGCTTATAAAACTGATAACCAGTTCAACACCACAGGGCAGCAGCTACAGAGAGCCACTGTTTCCTCCCACTCTCTATTCATAGCTGGCTACACAGAAGAAATACATTTGTATTTGTGTTTAAAATATAGATATGTTATATATATATATATAATATATACAGTATAAAATAATACATTATATTTATTTATTGTTTTTGTTAGGCATTTGTTTTTAAGATTTCTAAGAAATAAAGAATACAAAACAGCCTCTGGGCATACCCCGGCTTGACATGTTACAACCAAAAGAGAAAAACAATAGAACACTTATCATCCTTGCCACCTAAACAACCTTGGGCAACACCCAAGTGCGGTCAACGACCTTGGCAGTTATAGGATATCAAAAGAAGCATATGTTTGGAGGGGGACATGTCATTAAGGTTCCCCGTCATAGGCAATCACATTACACATTCACAATGGAGAAGTTTCAGAACAACAACAATCAAACAACAATCTGTATACAAAGTAATGTACCCAGAGCAAAAGCATAGCCACCTTATCTTAAGACATCCCTCCCTCCTCTCTTTTAGCATTAGCATTAGCATTAGCCCGAGGGCCTGGGGTCAGTGAGATGCCCCTGGTACCTTTTCATAGGCTTTTTTGAATTTGGGCAAGGACACAGGGGCCCCATAATCCCCTATTGCCCGGGGGCCCCATGAGTTGTCAGTCCGCTCCTGCTCAGTTCACATGTATGTGGCCATGTGGGCCGCCTTTTGCACAGGCATTAGAACCCATTAATTTGAATGGACTCCTGTGCCCATGACACGCAGGGAAGAAGTCCCTGCACTTCTTTGGAAAATGCAGTCGGCACGGGTACCTCGGTTCCTAGTACGGTTGCGTTTTCCAATGCGGGCGGTGTGCCATTAGAACTAGTGGCACCCACCCATGGGTCCGCATTTCTCTGTGCGGATGGTGCGGCTGCACGGATTTTCATGTGGATCCGCAGCAGCACCACCCGCACAGATGTGAACCTAGGGTAAACATTTTGGAGACCCCTTAGAAATAGACATTTTATACATTGGTATAACCGAGTTAACCTAACTCTTTCCAGCAATTCAGTGACGAGATTCAGTCAGCCTTCCATATCAAGACTATAGCCTTCCTGGCATAAAAGAGCAATATGTTACCTATAATTTATATAGTAATATAAAATATGGCTATATAGTATATTATGGTTTTGGCATTATTTATTATAGCTGTAGAGCCAAATTATTTTGCCTCACACATTTTGTAAGTTCAGATTTTAAAGTTTTAAAAATCAAACAGACCTTAAGACATACTTTTGGCAAAAATAAATCTAGCCTGCTTACATGTCTGCAAAAACAGAAATAATGCAAATTTTTTTCAACTTAGACAATTGTCAGATTTTGCTAATGCTTCCTGTTGCTTCTTCAGCATTGATTGCCTTTTCATAGGGTTCAGCACATTTACTGTCTTCACAGGGGATGCATTTTCCTCAGTTTCCCACCGTCTGCTGTTCATCCCCTCTGCTCACAAGTATCATTCAATCAGTATTCAGGCTTTCCATCCAGGGTTCATGGCCACCCATACAGACAAGCTATTCTTCTTTGTTTAGTGAAATCCAAATGATAGAACAAACAAATATACCACCCACTATAAGAAGCTCATCCACAACTGATAAAAACAAAATTCTGATTACCATGTTATTTCACATCTGTTTCCGACAGACTGTTTCAGTATAGGTAATGTGGTGTATTTGTTGAGCTTAATTAGTAACGGTTAGTAACTGTGGTGTGGTATTTTCCCAGGATGACAACGTCATGCCATGTTTTTCCCTAATCATGTGTACAAAGGATAGATAGATCAATAGATACCATTTATTTTTGCTCATATAGTTACCTGTAGATTGCTGGGCTGTTGAAAAGAGTAAAGTTAGAGCCTAATTGTTACTAGTTACCATTGCTGGTAAGCATAGCTGATGTGACCCTGTCCAGATGTACTGCTGATTATCAACAATGGCTGTTAGAACACACTTTGTATTTGTTGCTCATACCATTTTGCTTATAAAGAGGTTCAGAGTTACCACAACCTTGGATTTGAGGTGAATCCTGTTTGTTTAAAATCTGCTGTTCTGGAGAATTCATGTGCAAATTTGTTGGACTGAATTTTTTTAAGCAGGAAGGCACTTCATGGCTATTGAACCATGGCCAGAGGCAAAGAATCGCGAGTAAGTGTGTTTTTGGATAAGCCATCCCTCTCACTATAAAAGCAAAGGCTCACAATAGCCACAGCGCCAGTGCTGTATGGAAAGGAAAGGGAAAGATGACCAACTGCATAGGGAGAGATTAAAGCGGAGTTCCACTCACTCTGTAAAAAAGTAAAAGTCAGCAGATACAAAAACTTTAGCTACTGACTTTTATAAAACAGCCATTCACCTGTCCCACGATCCCGGGTTGCCCCCGCCGCAGCCCGTTTCACCGGCCATCCTGTATTCCAGGCACCGGAATATTCAGTGTGGGCACCCGACTGTGACAGCTTGTGGCTTCACGGCCGGGTGCCCACTGCGCATGCGCGAATAGCGTTGCGCTTCCTGAATGGCCCCGTCATCTTCTGAGACCTGTCACATGTCCCACAATTCTTCGGGGAGGGAGGGTAGGAGGACAACTTCCGTTTCCGATCGCCTAGGCGATCGCAGTGGAAGTGGGAGCGGGTACCTGTCAAATTCGGTTACCTCCCCGCTCCCCAAAGGTGCCAATCCTTAATGGGGAGTGGGCAACCAATCTGTGGAACTCCACTTTAAGATCAGTTGGGAAACTATGCTTTTCTTCTAATTGCTAGCTCTTTTGGTCATTACCCTATTTCTGCCTTTGTTTATTTTGTCGGCTTTTTTTGGGCTGAGTATTTTGGGGTTTTCATTTCTTTTGGGGTTTTTATTTTATGCTAATAGAACCTTTTTTATG